CTCTGCGGTGGCTGCCACTCAGCGAGCTGGGTCCGTCAGTGAGAACCTAGACTCAGCTAATCGCCCAGGTTTTCGCTGGAGAGCGGCTCCTCCCTTCCCTCTATTGTACGATATTGCCCAGCGCGATTCTTTCTTTAAAATAGGCAACATTACTAACTGAAGTCAAACACCAACAACGCATCATGTTGCACACCAACAACGTACCCACTTCACCTCGAAAAATCAATGTGGTAGAGCTGTCTAACAACCGGCACAAACAGCAACATGATTTTCTTGCATAAAAGCAAGATTACGACTCCTTCAGGGCGGTAACATGAATCTTGATGCATTACCCAAAAAAACAAAAGTAACAAATAACAAAATGGGATTTCGAACTGATGACCTACGGCGCGGCGGCTTCCCCAACTGCGTGTCAACCTACTTACTACACCACCACAACAGCTAGACGGTAGTGTCTAAAACAAATAAACATTTAGGACAACGGGCCCCCTCATTTTTACTGCTATAACAATTATATGGGCACTTTCGGCTAGATTTTCCCACCAGTGTCAGCATCGCCATCACTCTTCGTATATGTATACGTATCTATATATATGAAAATGCAAGAAAGAAAAAAAAATCCCAAAAAAAGACTCCGGTGCGCGGTATCGAACTTGGGGCCTCTGAAACGAGAGTGCGAGACATTAACCACTGAGCCACGGAGGAGCACATCCCTCAACGTTCAAATGGCAAGCTGTTTATATCTACCACTTACCGCTGGTGATCGGCAACCCGGGGAGGGTGGACCTATCGTGCTTTTAACATTACCAGCAATATGGCGCAATGAGCGCGCATTGCCACCTAATCACGACGCGGCGGCACGTGCTCTCATCTCCCACGCGCACTTTGCCCCGTGGAGAGGAGGGGGTGGATGTTGCCTCGCATGCCCTTATCTCACATAGAGAAGGATCGTACGTCTTGGCTGGCTTTTGGCTTTTACTAGAATAATTCTGTTGTAGTTACCGGGTGCACAAAAATCACTGCAATCCTTGCACAGTCTCCATTTGCGAAAAGAGCATGCTTTTCAGATACAGCGAAGTAACAACTGAGATGCATATTCACATTCATTTGTACCTGTGAGTATGTTTTGTGTGTTAGTTTTTCGTGCGTTGTTTATTACAAGAAGGAACACAATAAGGCAAAGCAAGGCTCACTGTACAAGCAATGTTCTGCAGAAGGACTTCTTGCTGGGCTAGTTTGTGTCAGATCACATTCATAAAATAGCGCAAGAAAACGACAAGATGGACACGAAGAATGACACACCATAAGCGCTACCAAACGCTTAAAATACAAATCTAGCACCACAGTTCGGAACATAAAATCTTGCTTACCCGTGAGCTTTCCTTTTACTTATTGTGTTCCTTGTGGTCTTCCAAACGCAGACTCACTTGTGGCCAACATCGTGGTGGTTATGTGTCGCGATAGGCACTTGGGCTTTTGTATAAGGAAGGGCCTGTACCCACCTGAGGTCGGTTCTTTTTTCGGAGCCATCCCTCCATAATGTCAACATGTCAAGCGGGTACATAAGATTTTACGTACTGAACTGTGGTGCTAGATTCGTATTTTAAATGTTTGGTAACGCTTGTGGTGTGTCATTCTTTGTGTCCATCTTGTCGTTTTAATGCGCTATATTATGAATGTGATCCAACAACTAGCCCAGCAACAGGTCCTTCTACAGAACATTAATTATACTGTGGTTTTGGGAGGCTTAGCCCCAGATATCATCGACAGTTTGCGCTGGCCTATGTATATACTTGTGTGCTTGTTTCGTGCGTCCTTCTTTGTGTGTGAGCAATTAGTTCGCACTTCTTCTGTGTATGTCCTTTTCGTGCCACCTTTCTTCTTGAGGAGTGAGCTGAAAGTTTTGAGCTGCTTGCTGTTCTTCGCGTGACAGTACATTGCTATAGCATTCATTCATTTGCCTTGTGGTAAAACAATCCAGAACTGATGCCCAACAAGCTTTGTAAAGACACGTTTCACTTTCGTGTTTTACTAATTCCTGTGACAGACGAATCCCAGTCATGTTTTTTTTCCTCTAGCTGAGTCGACATGAGATTGTTGGCGGGTACAGTTTGCCTAATTTGGCCATATTGTAGGCAGGCAATCTGCATTTATTTGCCACTGCTAGTGACATAAAAACATGATTGTTCAGCTACAAGCAACAATGGCAGTGGACATTTCTAAGCATGGACAAAAAAAAACGTTTGAATTAACCAAATTTAGAAGGTGGGTAAATTTGAATAATGTGGCTTTAAAATACATAATGGACCAACAAGTAGGCCCAACAAAAATTTATCATCCATTCTAATTAATCGAAAGTCTGAATTATTGAGGTTCTATTGTACATTTTAACAAGCAAATCAACAAGCAGTATTTTGTTTGCCTCTAACTCACTGTTCTGCAGCATTGTTCTAGCGATTGTGTGAATCATGATCCGTTCAAATGGAAAATGTCTGTAGATGAGCACTTCTGTTTTCATTCTAGCGAAGCAATTGATATAGAGCGATACTTTGCTTTATAGACAAGTTTGATAAGTAATTAACTGTTAAAACGTATGGTAGGGTAAGTCGTATATGTCTGTTTTAACATAATATTTTACAAGCAGCTGCACACATTCAGATGAAATTTGACATGCTCATAAGAATGCCACTGCATATCACGGAATACTATTTTTTTTTTTAAACCTACGTTGCTTATCCTTCATATGACCCACTCCCAAATTTTTAAGTGGGTTCACTTATTCAATTTACCTTTTTTCTGCTACCACCGAAAGGAAGTGACGATATTCAGTACTGTTATTGTAGATACATGTATGTTATATCTGGACTAAAGAAATAGGACATCCTTTAGTGAGTTAAGGTGAAAGTAAAATAGCTGCATTCACAATGCACAGAGAGTGCATATTGCTGCGTAACTTTCTTACAGCTTCACTTTTCACAAAATGAGCAATTTTTTTATTTCAGATTGTTTCCAACTTGTTGCAGCTCATGCATGCAAAGTTTTATCAGAATTGATTCCGTACTTTTTGAGAAAAGGTAGATAAAAGTTTGAAAGTTTACAAAAAACGCAATCTGAGAAAACCGAAGTTGCATCTCTCATATTCATATGGTGATTTCGGGACACTAAACCCCACATATCAATCGAGAAAAACGAAGTTTTATTAGCGCGTACTGCGTATGCCAGAGGGCGCGCGGCGCACTTTGAAACAGAATTTAAACCGCTTGGAGCGGCCGCTCGATGTCAGGCTTCCACAGGTTTGTTCCTCAGAGTGCAGTGGATATTTTGCTGTCAAAATTGCAAGTTCAACTTTTTGGGGGGTTTACCCTACCATACATGTGCACAATGCTTTACACAGCAAACTGTAGCCCCTGGCCTTGTATGCACAACTTCTGTAATGAAGTTATTCCTTCTTTTATTCATTCATTGAATTTTTGCCTATCCATACAGTTTAATCATTGGAGCATGTAAAGTAAGCATGCATCCTCTCACTTTTGGAAGTTTCTGCTCATATGGTCATTCTGACCAGAGCCCGACCAGATATAGCTAATGTATGTATATGTTCTGTTAAATAAACAAGCACTCTTTGTTTTTTCGGTATGATACATTGTCTTCTTTTTGATGTATAATGCACATAAGGATTAATAAGGATTACATAGTGTGCATTATTTTTAAGTGTGCTCCACGTAACTTGTAATTCTCCATGTAATTTGCTCCCCCCTCGCTTTTAAAGCCTTAAGTTTCCAAAAAAAAAAAAAAAAAAACGTGGCTTATCCCCCTTATAGGAATCGGTATAACACGAAAGTGTAATGTGTCTTTACAGAGGTAGCTGACTCATTTATTGTGCATTGTTTCAGCAACAGCAACAAATTGTGAAGTCAGGTTGGGAACGGCAAGCAGCTCAAAACTTGCAGCGCACACTTCAAGCAGAAAGCATGCGCAAAATTAGCATACGCAGTACGAGTGCAGACTAACTGTCACAGCTAGACACTTAAAGCATGCTCTTCACACAAAAAGAAACACGCACAAAATGAGCGCACAAGATACACAGGACAAGCGCGAACAACTGTCACAATTTTTTCTGAGTCGTCTGTCAGCAGCGCGCTCCTTTCGTAAGCACGGCCGTGGCAGCGTGCGAAGTGACCTTCATTCTCTCCAAAATTACAAGTCTGATAAGCGCCCGCGTAGAAGAGACCACGCTCTGTGGAAGCGGTGCTTCGTGGAGTCGACGACCTTTAGAGTGCGCCCAACGTGAGCCTGTCACGCCATCTCACCACTAATAATGAAAACACGCTAAAGTTTCGAAGCTCTGAGGATCGCCAAACGGTTTATGGTGTATATATAATTGGCTTGCTGTTAGCATACCAGGCAACGTACGTTTTGTGGCATAGTGGTTAGCGTTACGCACTGAGAATCGAGAGTTTGCTGGATCAATTCCGCATGACAGATGCTTGACTTCTGTTTTTTTTTTTGTGTAGAATCTCTTGGTATATATTTTTCAACGTCATTTCCGTGACTGAAGTACATGAGCAGAGTCGTGGTGGACCCCAGCATAAAACACTTTCGTGTTAAAAAGAATTGTGCAAATTATGCAAGTAAATACAGTAGCAGTAGATAATTAATTTCAAATTATTCTGCATGTTTATGCTATATACTGTATTCGGAAAGTTCTTAAGGCTAACTTTAACATTGGATCTTTCTGGAATGTAGTGTAATCCCTGCTTATCAATAAACTAATGATAGGCGAGATATTGCCAAAATCTCATGAGGTTACAAAGAACTAGCAAGAGCACCTCAAGCCTGCATTTCATTTTTGAATTTCTGGTTTATAAGGCCTCACTGAATATGACAGTAATGTACTTAAAAAGTGCTGTTCTCCAATTGAGCTTAACATTTTTCTTCATTGTTTCAATTAGTGCTTGAAATTACTACTGATAAAAATATTCTAACATTGCAACACATACCTTTGATAAAGTGGTGCTGAAAGGCCAGAAGCCTATTACCAGGAGCCCAAGAGACATAATACCTCTGTAGAAAAAGGTGATGACCTGTTTTTGATAAAACAAGGGTGCATTTTAATGAAAACTTGTGTGAAAACTAGTGCCATTTTCAGTATTAAACAGTTTAGAGAATAAAGATCTTACCACAAGCTCCATTGCCGAAATTGCAACCACGGTCATAGTAAGAAACCACATTTTTACGTTGAAACGCCTCAGGTATGCTTTAGCTTCGTAGTAGACATCAAGCCTAGAAATTAAGACAAAAATAATTATACTAACCACAATAAATATTAGGTCACACTCAGAGAGCCAGAAAATAAAAATTACATGAATAACTTAATTTTTCTGCCAAGTTTTTCCTAAATGCCAACAAAATGCCTAAATGCTAAATTAGACGATGACAATCCTTGAAACTAAATTAACTTTTTTAAATACCATAAAATGTCTTTTATGATGATGGCAAATGCAGTGCAGTTGCCTAGGCTATGATTTCAATGTAAAATTGCGTACAATGCAGACAAAGATGACAGGACAGAAAGAACAATAAAGATCTTTCGTCTTAGTTGGTGCTGTATGCAAGCTTACAATGGTTTATAAAACCTTGCTTCAGTTTAGAATTTCAAAACTGGTCTACAGATGCAGAGTTGTCGACAATGAAAATATCTGGTTCTGCTGCCAAAGTGCAGCAAGTTTTTTGCAGATATCAGATTGCACTCCACGACCTCAAAAAGACACTCCAGAGCAACATGTTTAGTTACGTATTATGTTCATCATTATCATCATGATGAGCCTGACTACGCCCACTGTAGGGCGAAGGACTCTCTTGTGTTTCACCAACCAACCTGGTCCTGTGTTTGCTGCTACCACGTTATAGCCGCAAACTTCTTAATCTCATCAGCCCACCTAACATTCTTCCTGGCCCTCGCATGTTTGCCTCCTCTAAGAATCCAGTCAGTTACCTTTAATGACCAGCAGTTATGCTGTCCATGCGCTACGTGCCTGGTCCATGTCTTTTCTGGATTTCAACTATGATGTGCTTAACACCCATTTGTTCCCTGAACAACTCTTCTCTCTTCCTGTCTCTTCCTTAAAGCTTGCCTCAGTCACTCTAAACTTAGATCAAAAGCAGCAAGCAGCCCTTTTCTTTACGTAAATGTTTATGTATCTTTAGATGAATGTTTTAGAGGATGTCGGTAATGGCAGTATCAAAAATGTTTTCGAAACAGTAGTTTATTGATATAGCCTCAATTTTACCTGTGCCTGAAAACACCACTCTGTATGACCCTACAGGCGTGATTACGCTCACAGGAAACTACATGGGGCAATACTGAAAACAGCAAAACCTGTGTACCTTTTTTAGCAGAATTCAACTTACCATAGAAAGTAACACAGTGCAAAGCATGAACTTTAGGGAGTCAGCCTAAAGCCTTTAGTTTCTAATGCCATAAATAAACATTGTGTTCGTAACAACCTCCTGTTACAATCATGGAAATTCGTGCAATACTTACTCATAAAAAACCATTGTCCATAGAATAATCGGGATGAGGAAGTAAAAATAGTACATAACACGTGCATTTTGCACTGAAATGAGAAGAGATATGTCAGGTTAGCTAGAAAACTATTCCTTCGAAAATTCAAATTTGCTATAGTGCCATTCTGTCACGATTTAATGCTAAAGGCACGATTACGGTATTGTAATACTCCAGAACATCTGTGACAGACAACACAGTTTTAATCTAGGTATGATGAATAAGTATTTCTCTGCAGGTTTCATATTAAAAGAAGAGATTGTAAAACAAGTACAATTACCACAACAAGACATCTTTAAGGGCTTTACATTAACTTTTATGGAATTTGTGGAATGCTGTATCATAGGTGATGTTCCTGTAGATCTATCTAATGAAATGTTATAATAGGTGGTTTCTTTATATATTCTTCCTTATTACAATAAAGATTTGTTACAAAAATGCTATGGCAGTCAAGCACCTGGTGTCTTTGCACATGAACTCTATGGAAGAGATACTCGGTCGCACCTAAAGTTACTGCTCCGCATAAAACTCGTGGACACATACTATGACACTCCTTCTCACAAACAAGTTAAGGAGTTCCTCGCACCTATTTAGAGTTTAAACGGACACTAAAGGCAAATATTATGTCGACATTGATTGCTAAAATAGCCATCCAGAAACCTCGTAGTGACACTTTTATGCCAAGGTAGTGCTTTTTTTAAAATAAAATCATATTTTAATAGTCCGCATAGCATTAGCACACTTCAAATCCCCCGCCTGAAAGTGGACTGTCAGACGTCACTGTTACCATGCCCAACGATGCCCGCCTTTACTTTGTGGCCGTCGACACCAGTAGCAGCAGAGCGAAATTAGTGGGAGCCACAGTAGGTACAAAGGCCATTAAGCAATTCAATGCCATCTCGGAGGCCATAGTTCTGCTTGCTTGTATCAACTGGGCTCCGGTAGATAACACCACCTATCCACCCTAACCAGCCGAAAACTGAACTTTTGAACCATTTACACCCTTCCTCATAGTAACGCTAGGCAATTCTTTTTTCCATAAATCAAACAGAAATGGATAAGCAGAATTTTTATTTCCTACATCCGTTAATGCACAGAAAGTTCTTAGTTCTTTTTTTATTGCAGCTAGTTTGATTACTAGTGATTATTTGTACTTGAACACTTTCGCATCATCGAGATCATTTCGCAATTGTCCCACTCATGGTGCACATCGTGTGATATATTCAGCTTAATTTCTAGCTAAGTAAGGCACTGTTGTTGATAATATTGACGTTTTAGACGTTGTCATGCATTGAGCTTTCACTATGACGTAAATTGCCATTTGCCTTTAGTGTCCTTATAAGAAGGAAACAAAAGCACCGTACCTCAACCATAAGCGGTTCATTTGTGTATTTCAGATGACTTGCCATTTTTTTTTATCTGATTCTGCTGTGACATGCAATTTTTCAGCATTCATTATAGGGAATTCCGACCTGACTAACATAGTGGCCACATTTCGTACATGCCTTGCATGCTCAGTTTCAGAATCACCTGGACTGAAGAATTCAGTTTCGATGATTAGTATCTTAAATAAATGTTTCTGGATTATCAAGAGAATGGCATATCCTAGATCTTTTTCATATAAACAACTGGCCTGATATTAACAATAAAAAATCTAATTAACACATTTTATTAATTATTATTTTAATGGCAATTATGATATAACAAAGTATTTTCATCTCTCTACATATAGTTCATGAGCAAAAATGGCAGGTGCCTGACCATCATATAAATTTTTATAAAAAACCTTTATTGTCTAGAAAAAACCTTTTATAAAATAAAGTCAAACCTTGCCCCTACCACAATGTCACTGCCTCCTCCCCTCTCCCTCTTTCATAATTTTTACTTCACTTGAATCTGTGCTATATGCCCATGAAAAACGTGCAGTCCCATCGTTCATATTTATGTATACATGATCAGACTTGGTGTCAGAGTCAATACATAGACTGGCATGACCTTGCAAGTAAAATTGCACAACTCAGAGCCCTGCAGAATGCAAATTTTAAAAACGAAAAATTTTAAGAATCCATATCTAAGTATCAGCTTCAAAACTCTGGGTGCACTCTCACCATAGAGGAGCATCGTTGACAAAAACAGCACTAAAATGGACGTCGAAATAATCTTCACTTTTCCTTGCCAATCTTGACTCCTCTTGTTCGACTGACTTTCTAATGACTTGCACATGATGCCAGTATAGTTGCGTAGAATAAGAAGAATTACAAATGCCATCCAGCCAGTGAATCCAAGCGCTACTGCAATGCTAAAAAAAAGGCACATATTCAGTGTGAGCATACTAGCATTTTTTAAAGAACTATACTCAACAAATAAACTGCAACTTCTAAAAAACTGAATGCAGTGACTAAATAAGAGCGTGTTTTCTCAATTTCACCCTTTGTAATGTATTGACAACATGGGTTTCTACCCATGGTGATTAACAGCGTACAAAAATAGCACCTGCACTACATTACACATGAAGCCAATCAAGTGACATATGTATGAACAAACCTACCTCAAGGTCAATCTGTCATACTTTTGATAGTACACAAGCCCTTTTAGAGAGAGCTCAATGAACTTTTCGATGACTTGTACCTATAAAGGTGTAAAAAATAAAAAGCACAATATACATAAAAAAAGTTCAGCATTTAGAAAATGGTACCCTCTAACAAAGAACATTAATAAATGGTGTATCAGTATAAATGCAGTCACCTATCACTTGCCCTATAAACAAAAAAAAAGTATGACAGCTCCATGACTGTAAAACCTGGGAAAGTGCGCAGCCTGGCCACCCAGCGATTCCCGTTCGAAGAGTTCCCACTGCTTTGTTTACCAAAGCATCGATGACGCCAATGTTTAAGTAAGGTTTGCCCAGCACATGTAGAATCTTGTTAGGAAGAACCCCAAACTTAGTGTACAACATGTGCACTACCTTTTGCTGCCCTTTATACTAAATGTCCTACTTGTACAGCAGTTAAAATGCGTGTCGTCTGCAACGAGTTCCACCAGGTCATATCACTCATCAGATGCAGCAACGCAGCACTCGCGACGCGCAGGAGGTGAGGCATTTGCTTGCTCGGTGAGAGAGTGACGCCCTCTCTTGTGTGTAGCCAAAGTCAGTGACATGTCTTCGTAACATTTCTAACGATTTTAAGTTTATCATGGCTACTTTTTAGTTACTTCTGTTATTTATATTAGTTTAGATCTCGTTCATTCATTTAATCTGGTTTTGAGCATTGTTAGCCTTGTTATGGCCTGTACTGAACCCTTTGATGCAAGTGTGATCACGCCACATGAGATGTATGGAAAGACAAGCCGGGTGCCTAAAGTGCTCCACACATAAAAGGAGGGGTAAAGAAAAGGGACTTTCTACGTCGGGCAGGAATGCGTGTTATCGTTTGAAATCAACTGCACAGTAGCATTTTCTATGCTACTGCACAGAAATATTACTGCATATTTTCTATAAAATCAATTCCATAGCAATTCTTGCATCCCAAAATATGTCCAAAGATAGCTTGTTATACATTGTGCAGTATGCTTATAGTTACAAATTTTAAAGTATGAATTTCTGAATTTCAAAATGATAGAAACTTCTAGACAATTCATACATACATTCACTTTTTATATAATTACAGCAGGACTTCGGTTGCCTCATAATAAAAACATTTATTTCTGTATCTTATACGAGAGTGCATGAAGCTTTGTAAAGCGAACACAAGCCGCCTAGTGCTGATATAAATGATGTAGTGATTCTGGCATTTTATTTGGTGTGATGGTGTTTTGAACAAACTACAAACACTGAAGAGACAAACACACACACACAAACAAACAAAAAAATTCCCTATTGATTGTGCAGCAGCAACATAGTAGTATATAGCACGTGGCTACAGTGACAGAGTGCGTGCCAGGAAGATTGACTGCAGTCCATAAGCAGATAGTTTTCATAAAATATGCTGAAAATTTAGGACACAAGAATACACAGTCCAGTAGACTCTAAATAAATGCAAGTTGAATGTACTGGTACAAATATTTTTCATTTAACAGGAGTTCCATTTACTGAGTGATGAATAGGGGTGAAGAATACAAGTACGAAACAGATTGTATCAGAGACAGTTGTTCCATTCAAGTAGCAGTTTCGTTTTAACTTCTAACAGATTTCTGTTTACTGAGAGTCTACTGTATCTCTAACATTCCATCGCTCAGTAATTATTTCCCTGCAGCACTCATGCTAGTCTTTCTCTTTGCCTGTGTAACTTTTGATGAAACGATCAACCTTTATGGAAGACAGACTACTACATATCGCTGAATGCAATATTACTTTCTGCATTGTTTTATAACCACCATTCAAAGTAAACTCATATATATTCAAGTACTCTACATCACCACTTGTATAAATGTACTGCGTGTCACAAATAGCGCATGATGGCTCAAACCCTCACCTTGGGTCAGTATTTCGAAAATTAGCTTTTACTAGCACTTCTAGATAATTTGAAACTGTTGGTAAGTTTACAACGATATGAAGATTTCATTTAAGAAAAGGACATGCAGCATGGTGTTTATCACTTACTGCCTCCTTGTACCTCGACTGCTTGAGTAAAGTCTCGATCATCTCAATCAGCTCATGCTGCCTTTTGGGCATCATGTCCCTAAAATAAAGACAAAATGTGAAAACTCCATCAGAGCCAGAGCCACAGAAGATGTTTAACAAAATTCAAAATAGTTCGACCTCACCTGAACTGACGAAAGAAAAGAGAGAATGTTGTGTCTTCTATAATCTGTTTTTGCTGTTGGAACTGTGCTAGGATTTGCCTAGCATTTGTAAGAAGTGCCACTGCTCTGAAGTGCCAGTCAGTGTTGAGGTATTCAACAGGCAAGACGCCCTGCACAAATGCACTTGATTAAAAAAATTTACACACACATACAAAAAATATAGATAACAGAGAATAAATCTCAAGTTTACAATTGTGATTTAATGCTAAAATACTCACTAGGGAATTGATTGGGATAGGCACACCCAAGAGAACAGCCATGAGAGGTGCCATATCAGCCTGATTAATGTCCACTCTTCTGTATAGTGAAAGGTTCCAAGCTGTAGGAAAAGGGAGAGAGAGAAAAAAGAGAACGCATGTTGCTTATGTGCTGACAGGCATAAAAGATAATGACAAACACATAACTCCTACAAACCAAAAGAAGGATACAAAAATATATTTCTGTGGGCTAAATATTATTCCACCAATTGGACATAGTCTTCATTTTTCTATGCATTATGATAAGATAGTGTCCCTTGATGCAGATAGCAACATAAAATGCTTACACATCACTGCAAGTTTCCTCGCTGTTCTTTATTCTATATATTCTATATATAATCACAAATAGTGCTATGGTACATCCAGAGGTATACCTATATACAGTGAACTTTAGTAAAGTAAACTCAGATATGCCTGAAATCTTTAAAAATATATAATTATTATGCCCCCGCTTTGGCCACTTTTACATCGCAAAGCTGCGATGGCTCATCGCATGAAGAGCTTCAATTCCTCTATTTAACATGACTACAGAACTCCACTAGTGAAGATGTTAATTAACTTATCATTTTAATTACTGCTCCAAATGATCTATTCAGCCACCTTAATATGCCTGTGGTTACAGGAAAAGTCATTGTGAAGGCATCATGGCATCAAACAAACATTGCAGCTCTCTGATTTTTGCGAATTTCGGACACATTGCTTGGAACACCTGGTGTGTGGGTGTGTGTGTCCATAGCAAACACATCTGGTAGGTTGTTGGTCCTAATCTCTCTTGCTTCATACTTAATTTGCTTCACACAGCAGAGGGACCCAAAGCTCAACTTAGCGGAACGACAACAATGGTGCGCTGTGGCTCTGGCAGCAAGCTCAGGAAAACTGGAGATATATGCGCAGCAGAGAGCACAGACGATTCAGTGTGTTTCACCGCAGCGGGAGCACGTGCGGCACGCATTGACTCGGTGTGGGGAACTTTGATGCTGTGCTGTCAGCTTGGCGCACTGGAACAAGATGCTTGCTATTCGATGTTGCTTTGCCGACCACACGAAAGCGTCAGTGAGGTCCGAAGTATAGTTCTGTGCCACGAGAGTGCAGACAGTACCAAGACACGGAAACCACGTGTAAAACTTTCAGTTGCCGGAGAAGCCATACAAGAGAGAAAGAAAACATGCGTGGATAACCGCAGTTAAAAGAATAAAGTAAGTTCTAGCTTTGTCTTGCCTTCCGTTTTTGATTGTCTCAATTTGCTTGAAATCATTTGTTTCGACTACCTGAATCAGTGTACAACACAGTGTGCCCATGCAAGGACTGTAGCAATGATAGTTCGCTGTCTCCACGTATTTTAGAAGTCCAATAACAGTTGTGAGTTGAAACAACTTTGTGTGTTGATTCCGTGTGTTTGTGAGACGTAGCTGTCATTGTTGGATGTTTACACTCACATAAGCCATACCACGGTTGGCGTTGCATTGTTGGTTGCTTTCAATTGAACTGCACACATTGTCAAAGGTTCGCCACCTGCAATTCACGCATCGGGAAGGCTACAGCATCGCGCTGGAACGAACGTCTGTGCATTTTCAGTAAACTTTGACATCCTGGTTTGCTCTTTTTTTGTCGCTTCGTTAGGGTGGTATTTATTCGAGCCACTGAATCGAACTGGCACTTAATACATTCAGAGATGTGTGTTTTTTTTTTCACATGCACCATGTGTATGCGTGTTACACTTTGTAGAGTGCTTCCAGTGTGTGTTTACGTGTGCGCTAATTAAGTGAGCTCATCATGCACCCGATATCACATCGTGTCTGAAATACGACACTTCTCACGCTGAGCCACATTCGCGCAGCAGGCCTTATACACCTGTACACTCGATATTCTCATAAAACGGGAGTGCAAGCACAACGCGAGAATCGAGAAAAAAAACATGAGGGTAGCAATTCAACTTGCTTTGCAGTGTAACGTTATAGCTAGGCTAGCTGCCTCGCAGCTAAGCCAGCGTCTGATGCTCCAGTGCTACGGAGGGCATGACTCTATCACTTTATCAGTCTTTTTAGTGCTATGGCCTTGTCATCCTTGTTTATTTTTCGCATGCCACGTAAGTTCGTTCATGACAGTATGCGTTTGCTACTGCCAGCATGTACATCGAAACAACAATCATGTTTTTCATTGCTGACAGCGTAAAACATCTATCATGTGCGTGGCTTCATTTTGAACTGCAGATAGAGTATTAGGTATATTTATTGACAGAAGAAGCTTACTTTGGCCTATCGTACACGGTAATGTCGTAGACTTCAGAAATGCATTTCGCATTAAGTCGGGCGTCATTGTCGTGAGCTCCACAACGTAAACGTGATTAACAAACTTTTCTGATTTGATTACGTTTGCCTTTCGAAGTACTTTACATGTCCAGCTGGGAAATTTCTTTCAAGCGGTTCGTGGCACTCCCAAGCACTGTGCGAGAGCACTGCATGTCCCCAGAAGCGAGGGGCAGAGTGGCAGAAAGAAGGGAAGAAGCGTGACATACATCGCCAATTTATATTTTTCAGCCAGAGATGGTGCTGCCTGTCCAGAGTAGCAGCGCTACCACGCGTTACTTTGGATCCTTATAAGTGTGAAGCAAAAACATTTCAGCTCGTCTTTAATGAAGGTCACCACTTTCAAGAAAAAAATTCACAATTTACAGTTATAGCTCATAAGTTTTAATTATGGTTTTCGCGCTAGCAGGCCTTCTGTAAACTTAGTTTGTAATAACAAAATTGCTAGAAATCTAAACAATATAATTTATAAATCTCAGAATGTGCCAAAATATATATGTTGCACCAACAATCATAAGTATAAAATGGTCGGTATGACTTATACCCGATTTAGCAAGTACATAGTAGTGAAGACAACATTCTGCGCATCAACCTTCACGATGCAGACATCTCTAAGCTAAGGTGTGTTTTCATAAAAAGACTGATAGAGTTGATATTCAGTAGGCTTGTTTTGCACAAAATTGGCCAGAGTAGAAAAATTTCGGCTCTGTTTCAATTACTCTGCTTGAATGCACAGATCCATCCATAAAAGAAAGCATGCAAAAGTTGATGTGAAAACATTTATTACAAGGAAAGTTGTCACTGTTCACGTAACTGTAGAATGCAAAAAAAAGCAAGTTTTGAGAAAAATGACCTTAATGTTTTGAACTAAATATCCATGAAATAAAAAAACATCCAATATATCTGAAGTTCACCATGCTTATGGCTTGGGACTTTTTCTGAAGCAACGCAATCTTATTTTGAGCAAGCTGAAGCACATACCGTATTTACTCGCGTAATCCTCGCACTCGCATAATTCTCGCACCGTCCACACCGCTCAACAAAAATACGATTTCTTTTTTTCCTCGAGTAATTATCGCACCCCTGAAAACTGCCACAATAATGTCGTCCGCTCGTTCCAGCGACTGATGATCATGATGATTTGAGGCTAATCCTTTTGTATAATGATAGCGGGTGCCATCTCTTAACCATCAAGCGTACTATGGCACAGAGATTCAATCCAATCCAAGCCAAGCAGAAGTGGCCAGTGCGCGTTGCGGCGTGTTTGGCATGCTGTGTCGGTAAGCTTGTCAAATTATGAGGCGATACTCAAGCTACACGGCTGCTTTCAAGTTACAAGTGATAGACCATGCACTAAACAACAGCAACAGGGCCGCCGGTAGGCCCTTCGGAGTCTACGAGTTTTGTGTTCGCTACTGGTGACGGCAGCTGAAAGCCACCAAGACGCGTTGGGCCTGCTGTGTGCCTAAAACTGGGATTGATGGTAAACTTTATTTCTTCAGAAGGAAACTGCGGACGATTCTGTTAAAAAGCCATCAGCCCAATACTGACGTCCTGCGCTTACCTTCTGAGGGCTCCTGTTGAGCGACGAATGCTATCACTACACCCGCAACGTCCACAAGCTTTGCGTATTCTCGACTATTTGCTTCCACTTTTTGTGTCTCAAATAAATCTTGTCTTGTGTTGAACCTCTGCTTTTATTGTTGAGGTAAGTTTTAATTAATACTTCTTAAAGCTTGCTATTAGTTGCTGGTGTGAGAATCCCGATTTGCAGCCACTTCGTTTTCTTTTTCGCTTTGTACGTTTTCGTGGAAAGATTTCCCCGCGTAATTCTCGCACCCCCCAACTTTGCGTCGATTTTCCGGCAAAAAAAGTGCGAGGATTACGCGAGTAAATACGGCAATGTTTTTCTAGGTCATTTTGCATCTCCAACTGAATCTCCTCCATGTGCTCCACAGCAGGTCCAAACTTGGTATATTGATTCCTTAACTTGTCACGACGCATTTTTCCTCCGTCCTATACTTCACTACGCCATATTTCACGGAGTACTACCGTACTATAAAGTCTCTGTGAAACGACAAAAGTTAGTCCAAGAGCTTTAAATGATGTACGGAAAAGCACAGAGCTGTTCCCAACTTAAACAACAAAGTGCCACAGCCATGCGGTGGAAATTTTCAAATAAATAGAAAACATCATGTCCCAGAAGCTTTAGAATGCACTTAGACAACTTTGTATTATTTCTTCTTGTTATCTTGCATATATTTAGGCCAGGCCACAGCAATGTGAAAATGACATAGCCTTTGATAAGTGGCTCAAATATTTCTTAGTGCGTGAGCTCTCATCCATTATAAGAAATGTTGACTTGCTGCTATAGTGTTGCAGTCAGAGAAAATAAGTGCAGCATGAATATATTGAAGCAACTGTACAGATATAATTATGCAATACTAAACCCTAGCATGGGTAGTGACATGTTGCACTATGCCGAGAACCCTGTTTTAATCTTTCATGCGAAACACATTTCGCTGCTTGCCTGTTAAATATGTAGTTGTTAAAACCAAACGTTTTTTAGGCACACAATATTTGTCTTTTTTTCTTATGTCGTTTACCAACATCCCCCTATTTTTTCTTATCTCGTTCTTTTATCATCACACTATTATGATCTCAAATTTCCCACATATTACGTATTACATTAAAGTCTCTCTTTTAAAACAACATGCCAACTCAATAATCTCGAAATTGCAAGCACTTAGATTTCAAGCCGCAGGTGTTGTAACTCGTGTGCTGTTGCATGGGATGGGAATGAAGGATGTTGATGTTACACGAGAATTCTTGGCAATATATTTTCTGCGTTAACCATCGGCTGTGAAATTTCTTCTTTGATGCAGATGATGAAGTGAACCAGTACCCAAGCAGAATCCCAACTGGTGTAATGAAGGAATAGCCACAAGCGCAGACACTGCCTAGTGGCTATTCTGCTCCAACAAATAGTTCATAATAAATAAACTATTTTTTGGATCAGAATGCACACAACACACAAAACCATATAGAAGCATGGTGCATTTCGCATGTCTCGACTGTAAGTCTTTTATGCTTCTGATAGTTGTTGTTGCTGCCAAAAAGAACGCAGTGGTAGCCTGTCGACCTTCTTTTGTTCGAAAATTTTATTTCAGCAGCACAATTGCTTAAGCACATAAAAAAATTATAGCACATTGACCTTGCACGTGCTGCACAATGCAAAACGCAGAAAGGCCCACACACCAGCAGCAGCAATGCCAGGGCGCACAGATATGTGGAGAAGAGAGAAACAGAAAAAATGCACCAGTTCAAGGCTACGCTCCTCGTCTTCGTTAAAACAGACTATACTGTTGGGAAGGAAAATTGGAGTCTTAATAAGCGGTACTGCGCTATCTGACCTTGCACTATGGTCAAAATTACATTTTGTGCTGTGCATCCCAATGCTGCACTACCTGTGTGTTGTGCTTCTGTATGCATTATTTGTTTTTTTTTTTTATAAGTATAGCTTGTGGTGTCCTACATAGACCTAAAAAACTAGTTTGGAAGTAAGCACAGATCAAAAACTATTCTCAACAGCATATGAACAAAAGTTCCAATTGCTAAAAATGCAGACGTCACTAAAATCGCTTCGCATTTGTGAATGGGCAGCTGGAATTTTCAGTTTAATTAAAGCCTCCTTACATTGTGACAAAACAGCACAGACAACAGGACAAAGAGCATGCAGGGCGCACGGCTGTGTCCTGTATGTCCTTTGACCCGTCGTCTACGCTGTTTCACCCCAATGTTCACGAATCAATGTTCTTGAACCTTTGGTTTACTGACATGGCAGTGAAATAGATTAAATAAAAACCACACTAAAATATACAGTATATCTAATAATAATATGTGCCGTTTAGCATCCCAAAACCAGGTATGATTATGGGAAAGGCTGTAGAGGAGGGATGCAGAAATTTCGACCATCTAGGGTTCTTTAACGTGCACCCAAATTTGAGCCTACAGCCCTACAGCATTTTCGCCTCCATCAAAAATGCAGCCGCCGCAGCTGGGTTTCGATCCTGCTATCAGCGGGTTAGACAGAACATCTACCTATAAAATAATTAGTCTGTATGTCTAACTGTAAGTATAAGAAACCTACATATATGTTGACAAAAACTCAGTTTTTTCCATGCAAGTATTATACTTAGTGCCATACTAAGTGGTACATTTCGCTGTAACTGAGTATCTTGGTTTTTTTACAGGTCATATATTGAAGTGTATTCTATGTTAGAACAAGCTCTAGTGAATGGACTTTGCCAGTACCAAGAAATCTGGTTTAGCTGCATCATTAAGATGGCAGTAAAAAAGCACTGGGAACGACACATGTCAACAACATGACATATGTTTCTTGACACTTGGAACAGACATAAGACTTGTACCTTCCGAGTATCCATCGTAGTAGCCATCACGCCCTGATAACCGCGGTGGTGCAATCCCTGCTCCCCAGGCAATAAGAGGCGTTTCAGTTTCAGAGGGGTTTCCTGCTCCATGATTACCTTGGTTAGAGATGAAAATTTCATTTTAGTCCCAACATTACATTCATATTAAAAACAAACTAACTGGAAATACTAGTTTATTACTATTGTAAATGAATGCCCAAGTAACCACGGATATCTGCTGGCTGTCCATTCTGAATACAAATGCCCGGTCGTATGAATATCCGACATGGCTAGCCAATGAACATGCTGTGAAAATCCATGTCCGGTGTGGCTGTTCTCTGGGCAACCGAACTGGATGTCCGACCGGACATTAGGTTTTGAACGTTGACTGGCTGTCTATATAAGAACACGCCAAGAATATGTGAATTTTTGCTCATCAATTATTGTAAAATTAGAATGTAGTGAAAATATATATAGATCTGTAGAATCCCGGCTGACAATCTTGTAAAATTGCATCAGAAATGCTACTATAAACTTCAAATTTCGGCACAGCATTTGATCCCAGGATGCCAAATAATTTTTGCTTTCTGAGGAAAAACAATGTGGCTGATTCAATATGTGTATCGTATGTTGTAAGAAACAACGTATTTAGTGTTATTATTATCGCATGTGAACTGACAAAAATACGGATTGAGTGCGTCATAGCAGTCATTAAGTAGGCAAACTTCCATGCACCAGCCTTGGCATTCCTCAAGCATACACTTCATGATAGCCATGCCACTCTGGATATGTTGGGAGAAAACACGCGTTATTGTGCCTGTTGTTCTGAAACCTGCTTGACCAGCAGCGCGCACTGATGGAAGGAGCATGTGGAAGGAGGGTGTTCGTGTCATGTCGAAGGTATGTACGCTGAGCTAGTCTCCAAGCGGCAGAAGGCAGATTTTTTTTTGAAGTGCGCCTGTGTGGTCATCAACAGCAACATGTGAAGTTACAAAGGAAGACTTTTCTACAGGAAACACCAAAACGCAGCACAGCCCACCACTGTTTTTGTCAGAGATTACCACGGCAGGCAGTAGCAACCCCGCTCACTCGCACGGCACAGATAAGGCCTCGTGTTACATACCTGTTCTTTACGTCTCATATCGGACATTTATCTGTTCACATTGACTATTGTCCATCATTTGTATAAGCCCTGGTGACACGTGGCATGTTTCCAGCTTTTCATTTGCTCGCATATTCCTTGCTATTAACCACTTTAATACACACGTGGTCAGTGCCTGTACACCTTCTTTAAAAGCATGTGCTACAACCACTAGCTTTTCTCCTCTTCTTGTCTATATGTACATATTGTGGTTATGAAATAACATTGCCATAAACACGCGCAAGTTGGGTTTGTTGCTAGTAATTTAATCTACCCGCAAAGAAGCAACTGCTGCCACCTAAGAAGTCATCATACTTGAAGGCAAAAGGGCAATGAACACTGAAATCTTGTAAGACTACGTACACACACTTTCACAATCGCGGCTGCAGACTGAGTTATGTGCTTTTTAGCCCAGATATATGTTGATAATAAAGGTTAAATTGTTCTTGAAAGCCCGTTTGAACTCCACCTTTTTAGAATTCATTTTCAGCAGGAAAGCTCCCGCAAAAAAAAAGATGGGCCTCTGAGTAGGCTGTGTGGGTACATTGTTCACATGAAAGGTTTTTCTTGAATATGCACTAGCTATATATGCATACATGCACAAACATTACATATATATATATATATATATATACGTGTGTGTGTGCGTGCATGTGCACGTGTGTGTGTTTGTGTGCGTGTGTGCACGTGTGTGTGTGTGACATAAGAAGGCAGGGATGGTTAGGAGAAGTAGATGAGGAAGAAGTGCTTAATAGAATAAACATGGCGTATGAGCCAGGCCACGCCTCCCATTCATCATAGCATCACGCGAGTCGACAGGATGAAGACCTCTGTTACGACCGGCCCTGGGGAACCGGGCAGGACGAGTTTGGGGGAGAACCGGTTCTTGACCGACGGTGTCGTCCACCCCCACCTCCCCATTCGGGCTCCTCCTCTCGCTGGGAGAGCTCCGGGGTCTGCTGTGCGTTCGTGACCATGTTTGGTAACATTTTGGGGCGCCGGGACCATATATGGACATCGTGTTGGGTTGTGCCACTCCATGTGTTGTGAGAGGTGTTTCCCCCTCCCTCGTGGCCGAGGTGCCGGGGACACCGTATTGGCTGACGATGCGGACAAGGCGCCCAGTGTCAACAACGTGGCGCTATAAAATGCCGAAGACGTTTTGTATCACTCCCACTCTTCTCTCTTTGGATCAGTTGATCACTTCTCCACATGTAAATAAATCTCTGTTGTTCGTTCGGGCGCTTCTTCTCGCTGAATTGTTGGACGATGGATCCTGCGACGGGGCCAGCTACCGAAAACGAGACCGGCAGGACCCGGAGTCCCAACAACTGGATGGCAGCGGCGGGATGCCGATAACCCCGAAAGCGACCACTGGACGGAGTGAGCCCAAAGTTCAACAACGGGAGGACAGGAGAAGGATGACACGAGCTCATCGACTTCCAAAGGGAATCGAGCGGCACTTCTGAGAGGCATGACGCCGGAGACATGACTGCGAACTGGGTGAGTGCCGGCTTTCTCTGTTAAATTTTACCAGGCATTTACTCTATGTGTTAAGTAAAAGCTGGTAGAGAGGGGCTGTCTTGGTCATTGTGTTAACAGGTAACTTGCGTCAGGCGGAAATTGTGTGATAGCTTGGTTAAGCTCTTTCTGTCAGTGGCGTCAAGGTTAACAGTGGCAGGGCAGGATTCCGTATAAGAGCTTTTTGAAGCTTTATTTGTAGACTAAGTTAACGGAAAACTTGAGGCAAGGCAGGAACCTAGAGCTGTTGTTGCCGACAAGGTTAATTAGTTGCAGGACAGGAATCTTTGTGGAACAGAGACAGCGGTACTGGAGGCAGCCATGAATCTGAAATCCCTGCGAAAGTCCATGTTGTTGCTACTTGCAAGGGAGTTGAATCTGGAGGTGTCGGACTCTCAAAGAAAGCCAGAGCTGATAGAGGCGATTCTCGCATTGGGGGCGGAGGATGACGAGCTGTCAGAATGTGTCGAGGAGATTCAGGAGAGGCAAGCGGCAGAGGCCGAAAGAAAGGCGGCGGAGGCCGAAAGGAAAGCGGCAGAAGCCGAGGCAGATAAGATGCGAAAGCACGAGCTTGAAATGAAGCGCCTCGAGCTAGAGATTAGCCATAATAGTAGAGCAGGAGGCAGCGAGGCATCCGGTACAGCAGAGCGGGTCAGGTTCAAAATGACGGACCTAATGAGATCGTACAAGCTAGGGGAGGACATTGGGCTGTTCCTCGTCAACTTTGAGAGAACTTGTGAAAGGCAAGGTTTCAGCCAGGATACATGGTCTCAACGCTTGTTGTCCCTACTTCCGGGGGAGGCCTCAGAAGTAATCGCGCGCCTCACGAAAGAGGAGGCTGACGAGTACAGTGAGGTAAGTCGAGCCTTCTCAAGAAATACAGGTTGTCAGCGGAAGGTTTCAGACAAAAATTTTGCAACGCCGTAAAAGAGAGCAATGATTCATACCCGGAGTTTGCTTACAAGTTAATGGCCAACATGGGGGAGTGGCTGAAAGAGGCAAAGGCGTATGGGAATCATGACAAGGTGCTCGAGTGTATCGGTCTGGAACAATTCTATCAAAGGTTACCAGAAAAGGTGAGGTTCTGGGTGCAGGATAGACCAGACGTGAACACCGTAACAAAAGCCGCAGAGCTCGCTGAAGAATTCGTTACGCGCCGCGCCCTCGGGGCAAACAGCGAGCCAAAAAGGGAAAAATTCCTACTACCGAATAAGGCGCCGTTTAGAAAACAACCGACAAGTCTCGCACAAAAGGGTGAGGAAAACAATTCATCTAACCATGGGGCGTCGGCAGAGGCAAGCAAAAGGAAATTTGAGGCGAGAAAACCGGCTGCTTGTTTCAATTGCCACGAAACAGGGCACTTCGCGAAACATTGCCCGAAAGAAAAGGTGGCCTTTTTATCTATAAATGAAGCCGACGAGAACATGAAGTTGTTAGAGCGCTATATGTACGACCTTACCGTGAACGGCAAGCAGTGTCGGGTTCTTAGAAACTCCGCAGCCACTATGGACGTAGTTCATCCGTCCTTTGTTCAGTCCGGACAGTATTCAGGAGACTGTGCCTGGATTAGACAAGCCGTAGAAGCAAACAGTCAGTGCCTTCCCGTAGCTAAAGTTGTCCTTAAAGGCGCATTTGGTACGTTGGAAACGGAAGCCGCGGTATCGCCATATCTACCCCCTCAGTATCCTTACTTATTTTCAAATAAGTCAGATCAAATGCTGAAGGAGAAAGGTCTAACGTTGGGAGAAGGCATAGTGCAGGCACTGACTAGATCGAAGGCACGTGCGCTGGCTGCGAGAGCAACATTCACTGAGGCAAACAAGCCTCAAATCGACAACGGGCCTGGTTGCGAGTTGGACACCACGGTAACAAATCGACTTGTGCGAGAACAGGCTGCAGAAGCCGTAGTCGCGGAGGCAACCATTCCTAAAGGCGACGTTGAACCTCCTCCCGAATTGGAATGGGTCAATTACGCCTCGTTGACCGAGCAAATAGAAAATGCCATTGCTCCCAAGCCGATTCCTGGTAGTACAGAGGATAGCACAGAGGGTGACACATTCCAGGTACTAGGAACTACAAAAGAGTTGTGTGTCATGCCAACTTCGGATAATTTCAGTCGGCTGCTGCAGGTGAGCCCCGCTTCATTAATAACCGAACAAAAGGGGGACCCGACGCTTAAGCAATTCCAGGACAGTTCGAAAGAGGGAATCGCCAAACGAAATGTGAGATTCCAAGAGAGGAGCGGCATACTCTATCGAAAATATCTAGATAGGCTAGGAGTAGAGTTTGACCAGGTAGTCGTACCTCAGGCGTATCGTCAGGATTTGCTTAGTTTGGTGCATGGAGAATCATGGTCAGGCCACTTAGGCATAAAGAAGACGAAAAATCGTCTTTTACAGGAATACTACTGGCCTGGATGCTTTAAAGATGTAGAGAGGTTTGTAAAATCTTGCGA